TTCTCTACTTTTTATGTCTTGAATATGCTCCTACAATAGCAATATTGAGAAAATAAATTTAAGAAATATTCTGAATCGATTTTATATTTGCTCATGGCTAAATAAAATGATAAGCTATTGATGAAAAGGAATAAATTTCATCTAGCTCGATTTACTCCATTCCACGAAGTGAATGTGACAACTTATAATAATTTTGAGCATGGACAAAGATGTGATCATAGCCATAGACATAATCGAAATAATTATCATTATAATTATGATGATTATAATATTACATCTCATCATCGAAGTGGATAACTATGTGAAAAAAGAATAAAAATAGATAAAGTCGGTATTCTGAAAAATAAATATTATAGATGTGGAATGAACGAATATTGATCGTGTATCTGCCGTACACTAAAGCACCTCATTGAGCCTTGTCAAGCCTTATTGAAAAATAAAGAGTAAAATACGAGGCAACTTTTATATATCAAAATAATAGTAATTGAAATTAATTACTTGTTAGTTTTTCTATTTATAAATAAAATATTTTATATTTCTTATAATTTATATCGTATAATGATGGTTATAAATTTATTTTACTATTTATCTATTTGTTTGTGTTTATAGGAAATATATTTATTTGTTTATTTTGTATTGATTTATTTGATTATTTATTTTATGTTGATATTATATATGATAATATCAATATAATAGAAAGCTTTAGAAAAACGACTATATTATTATCTAAAGAGATAAATTTTGAATGCTCTAGAAGAGCGATTATATTATGACTCGAATATATAAATTTTTGAAACTCTAGAAGAGTGAATATATTATTACTTGAAGAAATAACTTTTAAAGACTCTAGAAGAGTTGATATATTATTACTTAAGTGACATAATTTAAAGGCTCCGGAAGAGCAAATATATTATTATCTAAAAGGATAAATTTTATTATAAATGATGTCCTATTCTCTTCAAAGTTTCATAGAAATTTGTTGAGTTTTAAATATATTCATCTAAATTGATCATATCAAGATAGCAAATGTGAATACTTATATATTATAATAATTATGCTTGGGTAAAAAATATATATTGAAAAATTTACATGTTTTCTCTTTTACTATTTATTATAAATATTGGAAGCATTGAATCAAATGCTATAGTAAACCGAAGTTTACTAATTTCGGTACTTTTATTATGTCACATGACCTCGTTGTGTTATCATTTTTCTATCATGATGCAAAAATATTATTAAAAATTCATATAGATATTTATTAAAGAGCTAGAAGATTTTTCAATTTAATGAATTTTTATGTTTTGCATGTTGTCAAGGCAACTTGATGATTAAGCCATTACCAAGTAAAATTGAGATTGAATCTCCGGTATTTTTAGAATGTATTCAAGGTGATATATATGGATCAATTTATCCACCAAGTGAACCATTTAAATAGTTTATGATTTTGATAAATGCATCCATAAGATGGTCACACATATGCTTATTATCTACTCGAAACTCGACGTTTTCGAGATTACTAGTAAATAATTTGATTTTGAGCATAATTTTCATATTATGCCATTAAAATAAGTCACCTTGATAATGCTAGTGAATTTATTTCTCAAGCATTTGATTATTATTGATTGGCTATTAAAATAAAGGTTGAACATCTCGTTGCAAATGTTCATACTCGGAAAGGTTTAGCAAAATTATTTATCAAAAGGCTCCAATTGATAGCTAAACCATTATTTAAAAAAAAAACTTCATGTTTATGTTTAGGGACATGTAATCTTATATGCAGTAACACTTATTCACATAAGACCTATAAGTTATCGAAATTCTCTCCTCTTCAATTGATTTATGGTCATGAGTCAAATATTTCTTATTTAAGAATTTTTTGGCATTGCGAGTGTATATCCTTAGTGCTCTTTCATAACAAAATAAAATGGGCACTAAAAGGAGATTGGGAATATATGTTGGATTTAAATCCTCTTCGATAATTCAATCTCTTGGTTCATGATCAAGAGATATTTTTACAGACTCGATTTATCAACTCGTCATTTTGATGAAACAGTTTTTTCAACATTAAGGAGAGAGAATAAGTAAGTAGTTGGAAATATTAAAAAAAAATTACATGGAGTATTCTATCTTATATTATCTTGATCCTTGTAGAAGATAATGTGAACTAGAAGTTCAAAAAAATAATTTATTTATAAGGTATTACAAACCAATTGCTAGATGCATTCTCGGATTCTAAATGAGTAACTAAAATGCATATCCCAACCGAGAATGCTCTTATTAGAATTAATGTCCTATAATGACTATCTATTAATGTTATAGCAAATGAATCTAAAGCACACCCGAAGCGTGGAAGATCGATTGGTTCTAAAAGCAAAAATTCCTAAAAGAAAAAGACAAGAAGAAAATATGAAAGATGCCAATATTCACAAAATGGTCTAGGATAAATATGATAATAGGCTTTTAAAAAAGTCCAAATGCTTGAGAAACATTAAGAGACTTTGATAAATTACGTCAATACGGGGAGAAATATGGACCAAAAAGAAATATTTTTTGTATATAATGTTTCAATTGATATCTTGAATGAAAATAAGGATCCCGAGTCAAAATCTATTGAACAATATCAACATAAAGATGATTGGCCTAACCGAAAAGAGTAATCCAGCGAGAATTATATTCTTTTACAAATGAGTAGTTTTTGAACCCATAGTCAAAACACCGAAGATGTTAAGTCAATGGAATACAAATGTGTATTTATGCAAACACGAAATAAGAAAAATGAGATTATAAGATACAAAGCAAAACGTTTAACATAAGAGTGTTTGCAAAGACACGGCATTGATTATGAGGAAACATATTCTCCTATAATGGATGCAATTATATGTTGTTATCTCATTAACTCTGGCAAATATATATGAAAAACATTCATATGCATGCATTTACTAAATGTGATCACAATTTATTTGTTCATTTGAAATGATATCAATATGAAAGTTCTAGAAGGACTTACCATGCTAGAAGCATATAATACATATTCTCGAGAAAAGAATTCAATTAAATTATAGAGATCTCTATTAGGATTATTTTAGTATTTATTTTATTATTTTAGTTTTTATAAATTTAATTTATACTATATTTTTATATTTTATTTTTATATCTACTGTTTATTACTAACCCATGTGCATGTAATATAATCACTTCAATGATTATTTATTGAAAAGAAAGTTATAAAAAAATAACCCTATTTGTTTATATATTTTTATTTAAAAAGGAGGTTGTTGTATATATTGATGACTTAAATATTATTGGAACTCCTAAAGAGATTCCAAGTGTCATAAGTTATCTAAAAAGAGAATTTGATGTGAATACCTTGGGAAAAAAAAATATTATCTCGACTTGCAATTCGAGCACTCGGAGAATGAGACTTTTATTCATCAGTCAATTTATACGAAACGAGTTCTACAATGATTCTATATAAATATCATTCATTGACTAACCCAATGGTAGTTCATTCACTTGATATCTAAAAAAACATTTTTCGACCTCAAAAAGATAACGAAGAATTACTTGGTCCTAAAGTATCGTATCTTAGTGCCACTAGTGCATTGATATATATTGCTAATAATACTCGACATGATATAGTCTTTTCTATAAATTTATTAGCAAGATATAGTTCTACTCGTAACATGAAGACATTGGAATGGAATTAAACATATGTTACGTTATCTCCAAGGAACAAGCGATATGGGCTTATATTACTCCAATAAATAAAAAACAAGATTAATTGATTATGCGGATGCAAGTTATTTATTTGATCCACACAACGCTCGATCACAACTGATAATATATTTACATATAGAGATACAACTATATATTAGCGTTCTATGAAGCAAACTATAGCAACCACATCTTCAAATAATGCGAAATATCAATTCATGAGGCAAGTTGAAAATGTGTTTGGCTAAGAATGACAATCCATCATATCCGAGAGATATACGGTTTATCTATCGGTAAAAGAAGTTCCAATAATATCATATGAGAATAATCCTACTTGTATAATTTCATTGAAGGAAAAATATATCAAAGTGATAATCCAGCAAATTTATTTGCTAAAGCATTACCCACCACAACTTTTGAAAAAATGATTCACAAGATTGAAATACATCGTCTTAAAAATCTCAAATGATGTTTTCAACGGGAGAGGCCAACATTGAGATTAATGTATACAAGGAATATTGTACTCTTTTTCCTTCACTAGGATTTTTTTTCACTGGATTTTTTCCTAGTAAGATTTTAACGAGGCATGTTCCTTGTACAATGGACATTCAAATGGGAGTGTTACGAAATAATGAAAGTCTATCATCATGTTCATCTACTTTTCATATCTCCACTACTCATTATTCTTAATATGATTCAATTCATAATTCAATATGAGAAATTGAAAAGATGATGCAATTGATTATTCATAGTCCCTTCCAATTATCTTCTCAAATTTGAAGCTTATAAATAGACTTGATTGTTTATTAGTTGGTATACAAGCATTTTTATAGAGATTATGAAAATTATTTAAAGTTAATATCTTTTTTATTCTCTTTACAATGAAATCATTTCTTCATCATTTTTCTCTTTAATTCTCCTATTATTTTTAATTCTTTTATAACAGAAATAGATTTAATAACAGTTATGAAACTCCGCTGTCTTGACAAAAATTTTATTGATTTATGATTTAAAATACATGTTGAAAAAGTAGATAGTTAATCTCGCAATTTTATTTTGTTGATTACAACGGGTTGGATAAGCTGATCAGGATTTCAAATTTGTACATAAAAAGTAAGTTCCAATTGCCTTTTGCGAATGATGCAACTTCTTTACTACCACTGTTCCTTCTGTTGACAAAAGCTCCCTTTTCATTTAACAAAGATGATCATCCTCTGTAGACACAAACTGCAACTAATATTATTCACTCCAATAATCAAATTTAAGGACAATTATAGACTTCCTATTCAAAGGCGTGACAGTGGTGCCTGTCCACCATTTGCTTGGCTCAAGAAAGGGTAATCTGTGTACCCAACAACAGGATCCTGGGTGTAGAAAGTCTTCCTGTTGTACTTATTCAGGGGTGCATCAAGCTTCAATCTCAAGACTAAGTCTGGGTTTGAGATAAAAAGTCTACCGTAGGATACCAAATCTGCTTCACCTTCAGCAACTGCTTGTATTCCCAGCTCCCTAGTGAACCCACCACTGCACATGAAAGTACCATGATATGCCCTTCTCCAAGTCCTAATCATTTGGGCCTCCTCATCTTCGGTGCCAGGTCTGCCTGACTCTGTTTGGCCATAAGCTGTGTAGCGCGGTTGAGTGACATGGACATAGGTGAGTTTTGAGCCCACCTGTAGCTGGAATTTGTTGATTCTCTCGATCACTGAAAGGCCTAAATTTAGTGGATCGGAATCTGAGGCATCAAGGTGATCGATTGCTGGTGACATTCGGAAAGCTACTCGTTCTGCACCGACAGCGGAAACTACCGCCTGAATCACCTGCAGTAAGAATCTGCACCGGTTTTCCATTGATCCACCATAGTCATCTATTCTTTCATTGATCCCATCCTTTAAGAATTGATCAATAAGGTAACCATGAGCTCCATGGATCTCAACTCCATCAAAGCCTGCAGATCACATTTTCATTATGTGCAATTAACCATTGATATAAAACACATGGTAACCAGGTGAGCACAAGAAGCACCTGTTTCTTTGTTTTGAGAGCTAGCAGTCTAAGTTGATTATCCAGTCAATTAAGAACCAAGAATTAAATCAACAATACCGGCTAATTAAAAAGGCCAGTCACTATGGCAGTATAGCCATCCAGTTTCAGATGGCACTACAAATAACTATATATTCCATTCCATACATAATCCCAGCATCTAACAAGTGAACCCACAGACCTTCATTGAAACACTAGAAGGTTGCACAGAGATCCCACCATTGTTTTTTATTCCCTTGAGTGAAACATGAGATAATCATGACACATGAGCAATGGAACTTTTTCAGGGAATATATTATCTAGTAACTAAAAGGAGACAAAATCATAGTCATGCCATGTTACTGCAAATGTAAATCATGATTAGAATTTAGAACTCCCATCATAGACAGGCATAATGGTCACCCTTTAAGAGAAAAATTAGTGAAGCATACTCCATTTTCTCTAACATGTAATTATGCCAGTCTAAGAGAAAAATTTGTCATAAACAGCTGCAGCTCCAAAGCCTTCGACAAATAGAACAAATAAATGTGATTACACTAACCTGCTCGAATGGCATTCAAGGCTGCTTGGCTATAATGCTCCACCACCTCTAGTATTTCAGAGGTTTCCAAGGCTCGAGGTGCTGGGTATATGCCATAGGTCCCATCTGGCATGAGAATTCTCCACCTGTTTGAGACAGCCTTGTTTGTCGATGAAATTGGGGCTGCCCCGCCAGGTTGATAAACTGTTTTATTGCCCAAATTCAAAATGCAAATATTCAGTGCTTCAACAACAATGACGGTAGCCAACAATGACAATAAAAAATGGTGCAAGGAAAATGCTGGTGAACTAAAATGACAGCAGGTTGATTTCAAGTTTCATAATAGAGTAAGTAAATTTACCTTGATGAGATGCACGGCCAACGTGCCATAGTTGACAGAATATGATGCTCCCTTTGGCATGAACCGCATTCACCACCTTCTTCCATGCCTCCACTTGTGCATCAGAGTAAATTCCAGGCACATGAGGAAACCTGGTTCCCCATCAAGACATCAGAAAAATTCTATAACTCATGCATGACATAAACAATGCAATGTGAATATCTATGAGAAAGCATTTTCATTAATGCTAAACATTAAAAAGCAATGGCAAGAGAAAACTTCAAGAATACACATGGCCACTGGATTAGTGGTTTTACCATTGGATCCCACATTAAGATCATATGATTCAATGGGTCATAATCTTCTTCAATTTTTCTTTTAATGTTTAGCATTTTTGTTTTCATTGTATCCTTAATATTTTGCTAAACGACGATGAGATAACAAATCATAATCCCTTTTGTCACTTTGAACCAAATTAAGGAAGAAAAAATGTACTGTCGGATAAGCATTTTGCACAACTATATGCTATTAAGTCCCCTTGCACACAAAGAACTTGTTTAGCAACAATAACTAGGAAATGCAGTCCTATTGTTTTCCATCTTAACGTGTAAATAATATCATCATCCTATTCCTTAAGAAAGGTATGCAAATTCCCACTGTTTTCAATCTAACGTGTACACAATAATGCCATTCTATTGGAAAAAGTTTGCAGAAAGCACCTTGATTGATCTATAATTTATAAGGTTTCTTTAAGAAATATGTCACCTCCTCACGAAAGACAAATTATCACCCAATATTTCATTAAATATCAAAAGTAGATGAGAAAAATATTTTCTAATTAAACAACCTCAATCACATATAGAATCAACAGCAAGAGAAGTTGGCTGGTTATCTTCTTCATTTTCATAAGAATAAAATGTAAACTGTGTCACCGCTATTTCAGGAGCAATTTAGCTATTGTCATGATGGATGGAGAGGGCTCAAGCTAGCGAGCAACCCAGATTTCATTCTCTCTCAAGCGCACTATTCAGTGTTGAAAAAATATGAGTATCATTTTCAGATTATGGCAGCACCCTCCAGCCCAAAAAATAAAAATAAAAATAAAATAGCTCCAAACATGACAAAGAACAATAAAATCAGGGATATCACAACTAATTGCAATTGACTGATTATTAATTTAATGAGGGGTTAAAATAAGAAACTCTTGAAACGTCAAAACATAAGACATCAAAGTCGATCAAGTCTACGTCCAAGGTCCAAGATCCAAACTATCATCAGTAACATTAATAGCAATAGCCGCCAGTCCCCGTCATCTGAATCCTCATTCGCCAGTCAAAAAGTCATTAAGAATGATTTTCAAGAAAGGAAAGGTCATTAGGTACCAGAAGGTTGTTGGGCCCACCTAGCACTGAAAATTCCACCACCACCAGATGCAACCCAGTCATAGCGTGCGTTTTGAAAGTGCAAAGATGGAAAAGTCACTATCAATAGAATAAAATGACGAAATTACCCAGGAGCGGTTGGAGAGATGAGAGTGCCTTCGGTGATGAGAAATCCACCGGGAGTTGACCTCTGCGTGTAGTACTCCACGAGCGCATCCCCTGGTATCCCATTCAACGCCCTGCATCGTGTCATGGGCGCTAGCACCACCCTGTCCAAGGACAATTTCGTCATACAACATAGTACCAATAAAATCAGATGACAAAAATGCCCTCCCGGATCTCTCTCGGTAGATTCCGAGAACACCGTACGACTTTCTTTTTTTTTTCTGGTGTCTGAAATGAAAACTACTGAATCAATTCGGCCGCTGAAACTAGAGAGAGAGAGAGAGTAGGATTAACTGACCTGTGAGAGAGGGTGAACTTGGCCATGTTGTAAGGAGAAAACAGGGAGGCCCCTTTTGTTCTAGTTTCAGCCATTGTTCTTGCTTATTTTCGTACAAGTTACAACTGATCAGAATCTGATCTGTCACGAAGAGCCAACTGATCAAAAAGCTGAAACTATAACCCAGACTACTGAACTAAGGATGGATATTAAAAATAAATAAATCAAAAAAGACAAGGAGAGTGAAAAATATTAATATACTAAATAGTAAGAAGTGAGCGAAGATATATATATATATATATATATATATTATTGGTGGTAATTGGGGGGTGGGATGGATTTGATACAAAGAACGTGATCAGAAGCTAGTTCGTACACGTTGAGTGAGGCTGTCTGACTTTTGCACGTGATGAATGAGGTTCTTCTGCCAAATTTGCGAAATTGTGCACATTGGATGGTCTTGATTATGACTCCCCACTAGGTCGGCGAACGAGTCTGGTAAGTCTCCCCAATTACAAATAGACTACCACTACTGTCTATGTAATCAAAATTAGCATTCATGCATCCACATTTATGTTATTCAAAATTCAAACAAATCAAATAATAATATAAAAAATAAACGGACACGGAAAACGTGGTTCGATAAGCCTATTACACAATTAAAACTTCATTATCAGATATTAGGATTACAACTACTAATTAACCACCTACAAATAATCTCATTACATCCAGATGATCTCTCACAAAAAAGTACAGCACTAATACTACTCCTCCCATTAGGGCTGCTAAAGGTTGGGTATAAATTAGGTATTTTATGCAGCCCATCAATTAATTATCCTTTAAAAATATTCTAATCGATAATAAGTTAAATATTAATAAAAGAATTTTATTTATCTATATTAATAGATAATTAATTTATCAATATGAGTGTTCTCTTTTTTATCTTATTAATATTCATTATTTATCTATTAATATAAAAAAAAATACTTTTAAAATAAACAAAAATAGGACGTATGGCACTGTCTTTTCATTGTAATTTACAAGGTTGCTCCTCCCGAGCCTTGCCTTGCTCATTCTTTAATGTTTAATACTATACTAACAACAGATTGTGACATATCAGCTTTTTGAGATTTTTTTTTTTTTCTAAAACAAGGTACTTTTAAATTTTATTTATAAAATTTATCAAAATAAGATAGTTTTACTATGTGAATCAAATTACATGTACATGTCATTTTTTTTTAATGTTAAATTCATTCATAATTTTACAAAATTTTAAAAATAAATATTATTTACAATACACTCATTTCATTAGTTATAATTACCTGATAAAATCAAATATTAATAAACCCAATCCCATCAACTCATCAACAAGATCTAGAAATAATTATTCTAGTAAAGTCAAAATAAATAAACCTTTAAGAATCAATAATTCTATAGCAATCTCTCTCTGTCAAAAATAAAATGGCTCAACAATCAAATAAATGGAGCTGGTTTTAAAAATCCAAAATCAGTAAATAATAATATGCTTATTAATCAGTGGAGCCATCTAGTCCGGTAGCAATTTTGCTCGAGTGCGTGAAGCATCCCTTATGATCTACATATGTCATTATCAATCTTGACGAGCCAACAACATGGCAACCTTGGCAGCCACTATTACCAGACATGTGATGCTGGGTTACGGTCTTGTGGATTCCAGTACTTCTTAACCCAAAATAAAGAAAGTCATACTTTGGCAAAAAATAATTTTGTTTTGGGTTTTGCCTAGTTTTGGATTTTGGTGTGGGTTTGTCGACTTCAGCCCTATTTCTTTGATGGTTTTGGAATTGAGCCATTTCAATTTTTATTAAAAGAGATGGAGTTGCTGGTTTTCGAAGGTTTATTTATTTTGGTTTTACTAGAGTAATTATTTTTAGATCTTGTTAATGAGTTAGTGGGATTGGGTTGATTAGTATTTGATTTTATCTAATAATCATAAATAATAAAATGGGTATGTTGTAAATAATATTTAGTTCTAAAATTTTGTAAAATTATTAGTGAATTTAGCATTAAAAAAAGCTGACACGTATAAATGATTTGATCCACTCGATAAAAACTACCTTGTTTTGGCAAATAAGATTAAAACAATCTTATTTTTATAAACAACCTTATTTTTATAAATAAGATTTAAAAATATCCTATTTAAAAATTAAAAAAAAAAACTCACTTTTTGAAGTGTCAAGCATGTCCATAAGTAATAATACCATGTAACTCAGTTGTCACAGTAATGACAATTAATTGAGATAGGAGAATGGATCAAAATGATACAAAAAAACGCACTTTTAAAATAGTTTAAAAAGAAATTTAATTTAAATTAATGTTTAAACTAATTTGAAAATATTTTTTTATAATAGTTTGAAAATATCTCTATTATAAAATAAATAAAAAATTATGTTCAAATAAAGTTGTTAGTATTCTATAAAAGAAATAAAAAGTTGGACAAATCTGTTTAACTAGTGTTCCTATTTGTTTTATTAAGAGCTAATAATTTGCTATTAATTGTTCAAAAAAATGTATAGTTGGACGAAAAGATAATATTTGAAATGATATAAATTAGGATGACAGTGTTAATAGTTTTGATTTTGGTGGGATTTGAAATTAGCCTCAACTCATAAAAATTATAGTTGAAGAATCCCAATTGACTGGAAAAAAGAACATAAATAAAGGGCGGAAATATTAATGGATGGACCTCTAGTATACGTGAATTCCATGAAAACTTATAAATCAAATAATGTAGTTCACATAAATCACAAAATATCAATGTGACCAATTATATAGAAAACATCTTACTATATAAAAAGCGTCTAGACAAAAGAGTTTGTAACAAAAAATAGTTTTTAATAAAAAAAATTTTAAAAAAAAATGTTTTCAATTTAAGGAAAAAAAATAATCGTAAACGGGTATAAACAGGATATGATATAGTATATATGAGCTAAATAAAGAAATGGACAAGTGATTCTTAATAGATAATGGGTATAGTATTTTTTTTAATTGATAGGATATGAGATTGGCTTAATGGGTCGGGTACCCGATCCATTGCCATCCCTACCTCACAACCTAAACACACCACACAATTGCGACTCACAAAACTAATTGTCGTGACCTTTACCTTTTCATTATCGTGACACAACCTCAATATCCCCAGCTAAGGTTTGGAGCATAAGAGATATCGTTTAGTGATTCCAAATTCGGTTACCAAAGATTCATATCATTAGTTGTTTGAATCTTTTTACTCTTTATTTTATTTTAATTAATTATATTTTTTTACCCTTTTTTGTCTTCATTTTTTCTCTAAATATTTAGTTTTTGTCTTAATCATATCTTTATGTTAACGTTTTAGGCTAATAGTATTAAATCACACCCTTAATGCAATAAGACTACGACATGTGTCAACCTTTTTTTTATTGAATTTTAATAAATGATTTAAAAAAATCATAACTACTTTTTTTAGATTTTTTTTCCAAAATTTGTTTATTAAAATTTGAAAAAAAAATTAAGGTAATGGATTTCTAGTCTGCTTTTAAATAAATTTTGAAAAAAAATTTAAAAAAAAATGGTAATGAACTTCTAGCTACTTTTTCTTCGAGTTCTTTTATTAAAATTTAGTAAAAAAAAAAAAAAAAAAAAGCTGACACATGTTACAATCTTATGGTACTAATGGGTGTGGTTTAATATTGTTAGTGAAAAATGTTAATCAAATGACATGATTAAGACAAAAACCAAACATTGGAGATGAAATTAAGTTGAAAAATAGTAAAAAAGCATGATCAAGACAAAATAAAGAATAGAAATAACCCTGCAACTATTAACCTGAAAAAAATCACTATCAAATATTAGGATTAGAACTACTAATTAACTACTCACATAAATAGCTAATAAATTTATATCTTTTGAGTTATTATGAATTATTTTATTAGTTAAGTTTTGTGCGTGTGTGTGTCTCTCTATGCATGTGTGTTTTTTTTCTAGGTTAATAAAAACATTATCAAAGTACAAGCATAATTTTTTTAATTTGTTAACTAAAAAATTAGGTGTTTGGCAAAGGATCCACGATTATAATGCCAAATGTGCACTTAACTAACACATTATTTATTATCAATTTCAAATATCCCCTCATGTATTGCCTATTTTGATTCAGCGTCTTAAACAATTTTTGTTTTGATTTCAATAGCTTAACTATAAGGTATTTTCATTTACATACCTTCTATTAAGATTATTAAGATATGTTAATTAATTTCATTAAATAGCTTGTAAAAGTCATATGTGGTGTTGTTCCTAGCACACAAAAGGAATATAATTAAATAATAAAAATTAACACAATAAATAAATAAATAAATTTATTATAAATTAAAATAAATAAAGAACTGAAACTTTTTACCTTGATCATCAAAGAATTCAGAATTAAAATCATATTATCATATTTCATACTATAAAGATGATCAATCCAGCAAAATAGTTTTATCATAATTTTTAGATGACCGACTCAAGACACAACCAGGTTGTTTTTTTTTAGACGAAACGCATCATTCGTAGAATTTATTTGATGCAACGGATCAAGTAGTTTTTTTTAATAAGTTTGCGGTACTTGTAAGACTTGAAACTCTAAATACGGTAAATACCACTCTTGCCCAAATATAGAACTAAAAAAATTATCCGGCTTTTTCAAATGAGAGTATAAAAAATAAAACAAACGTTTTTATTTTTTTATTTTTAAACAAAGCAAGAAAGGTATTGCATATTGTTCTTTCCTTAGCAAAATGCCTTATGCCTATCCAATTGATAAGACAAACATATATATACATAGGCAAATGAAGTAGCCGTTTGAAGAATTTAATGTATTCATTTAAAAAAAAAATAATGGCTAATGTAATTTACATTAAAATTCAATGAAAGAACATTAAAAAAAAAAATCAATGAAAAAATGTTACAAAATTTAATGAAAAAAGCTGTTGGTATTTTGTTTCAAATGTAAGCTGTTTGAAATAATTTTATATTGTCAAAGCTTTTACTACTTCCAATGCCACATAAATTTGGTTTTATTGACCTTGCATACAATATG